CAGCGCTCGTCTTCAAACAGACACTGGTGTGAGAGTGAGTGGCCAGACGATTCGGAATCGACTGCATAGGGGTCACCTTCGCGCCCGACGTCCTCGCGTGATCCCTTGTTTGAGAGATCATCACATTCAGGCAAGACGTCGTTGGTGTAGGGATCGTCAACACTGGGATAATCGACGCTGGAGCAATGTGATGTTTTCAGATGAATCAAGGTTCACTGTTGATTTTTTGGACAGACGTAGGAGGGTGTGGCGTCGTCGAAACGAGCGCTTCCAAGACGTTAACGTCATCAGACATGATCGATTTGGGGGTGGTTCTGTTATGGTGTGGGGAGGCATCACTGTTGCTGGAAGAACGGCTTTACATGTTGTTGCAGGGCGTGTTACAGGCCAGTACTACCGGGACAACATCTTGGCAGTCCATGTTGTGCCGTTCGCACGACGTCATGGCCGCCGTTTCATCTTCCAGGATGACAACGCAAGATATCACAGGGCCAGGATCGTTACAGGTTACCTCCAACAACAGAACATCACCACATTACCTTGGCCAGCACTGAGTCCCGACCTCTCCCCCATCGAGCATGTCTGGGACATGCTTGGACAGAGGTTACGTCAACGTCAACAACGTCCTGCCAATGTCCAAGAACTTGCTGCTGCGTTGCAACAGAAATGGGACAATCTGGACCAAAATGACCTTAGACGTCTCATTAGGAGTATGCCACGTCGGATCAATGCTTGTTTGGCAAACAGAGGAGGATTTACCCGTTACTGACTTGGTTGTGATGCTGTGGTAACTTTGCTGTTTGACCCCGGGTATCATTTTACCCTTATAATGGCCAGTCTGTGCCTTACTTAGTCTAACGATCATTTGGAATAAATCGATGAATGTGAACTTCATTTCATTTTGTCATTTGTTTCTTCGTCAGTTTCATTAGGTGACTTTAATAACACTTAAAAATCAAATATCCCCTACTTTTTTTGAATAGTATATTATGTAAAGACGGATTTGTTTTTAAGTTGTTGTGTATAGTAATTATATCGGTAATTGTTTTATAATAGGCCTACCTGAGAAAAAAAAATTGTTACATGTTGTCTTTTTTATCACACATATTTGGCAGATAAAATATTCCATTTGTCTGAAAACATATTAATATTTTTGTATACAAAAATGATCATCCATTTTGGCAGAATAAAATGAAAGCCAGTGTGAACATTGGCAGTGATTATATACAATCATACTCCTAGTAGTATCCTGGTGTTTTACGTCTGCTTCCACATAAGTAATATCGCAGACAAGAAATATGAGAGCCGAAGCTGCTTCCTGTATTTAGAATATGATTTTGCAATCTTTCCATTGTCGGCCTTAGGCTATGTTTGGCAGATAAAATATTCCATTTGTCTGAAAACATATTAATATTTTTGTATACAAAAATGATCATCCATTTTGGCAGAAAAAAATGAAAGCCAGTGTGAACCTTGGCAGTGATTATATACAATCATACTCCTAGTAGTATCCTGGTGTTTTACGTCTGCTTCCACATAAGTGATATCGCAGACAAGAAATAGAAGAGCCGAAGCTGCTTCCTGTATTTAGAATATGATTTTGCAATCTTTCCATTGTCGGCCTTAGGCTATGGATTGGGTTTTGTGGGAAGTTCTTCCCTTTATTTAGTAAAAAAAACATATCGATTGGTAGATGTTTTCTTCTGCTTCTGGATTGGTAGATGTCTTCGTAGTGGGGTTAGTGTTTAGGTGCCAGGCCCGTCTTATCGTGACCTCCCCTTACTCCACAATCCCACTCTATGGGTTTGGTATCTATCATACTCCTCGCAGTGTTTCGTTTGATTATACCTCATCCCACTAAACACTGCTTTAACGAAAGCAAATTTCTGTTCCAAATTATGACTGGTCAATGGTCCGATTAACAACTAATAGCTAACTGCGTTACAAAAGCATTACGCTTAAAACAGAGCTCCAAATTGGACCAAATATGTTTACATAATGTTACGTCATGACTCACGATTTTATTATGCCCAATTAACCAGTGCATAGCAGAATATTGCAGAAAAAAATAATTGCGTGACAAACGAGGCTATCTACACGGATACAATGTAAACAATACTGTATGTAGACGAACACGACTTTCACCGTTTTTAATACCTTAAATCACTGTCCAAAGTTTTAGGAAAGACCCCAGATTAAACGAAGGGCTGTCATGTTGCTGTACTTGGGATAGATTCGATTGAACGGGAAGAATAGACACACTCCCTCAAAAGCTCAAGTATTACAAAGCAGAATATTGCAGAAAAACTAATTGCGTGACAAACGAGGCTATCAAATCGAAAACAATTTAAACAATACTGTTTGGAGACGAACATACTTTAACCGTTTTTAATACCTTAAATCACTGTCCAAAGTTGTAGGGAAGATCCAGATTAAACGAAGGGCTGTCATGTTGCTGTACTTGGGATAGATTTGATTGAACGGGAGGAATAGACACACTCCCTCCAATCTCAAATATCAGATGCCAATACAGCAATGGCCAGAGAGGGGTTTCTCGGGCCATTGCTTCAGGAATATGATTTAAGTTAGTTCCAAAGTAGTTCATGATATTGAAAACACGAATGACCATAACCGTGTACATGTATCTTAAAATCCTTGATAATCATCGACGCAGCTTTTGGTTGTTATGGATAGTAAATAACATGATCCGCACTAAATATTGGACCACATGTATCTTGGTTTTTGTTTTTATTATTGACAGGTGGATGAGAGGATGTTTATATATAAAACATGGTTTGGTGAGAATGATTTCTATCACACCTTTAACAGTTCAAACAGGATCAATCATCGTCATTTATCAGATACACAGATACTCCCCTACCGGGTTGAATGTGTTGAAATGGGGTTTCCCCGATTCTGCTTATTTCCCAACACTGGTAAGCAGCTTCGGGCAAATGAAATATGGAAGTTGGTAGTCTCTCTCTCCCCCTCTCTCTCTCTCTCTCTCTCTCTCTCAGTGCGTGTGTGTGTGTAACGACGAGAAGTAGGTGGTCGCGATGACTACTATATTATTAGTCGGTACACATGATAAACAGTTCATCCTTTCTACCCACGACGATCAATACAAGGTGATTCAGAGGTTATATTGATGACTAGCTGAGAATAAAACACCACTTCCATTAAATTCCTGCAAATCTCTTGTCTTTACGGGCGATGATTTATAGGTGTTTATACAAGTATAAGAATAAACTGTTGATTAAAGGATATGATAACACATCTATCTATATTACTATCATCGTTAGCTTTAATATAAGATCATAATGATGATTGATACAATGATAATTAAACAGTTTCATAAACACCCTGTCATTAATATATCCCTGATCGACATGGTACCACCACTGTACGTTAGTGACGAGAGATTAGTAGTATGGACTGATAACGGTGTTGACAACGGGAGAATCTATTTTCGAGTCGGTCAAGGACATTTCGAAAATTCCCCATCATCGAAATATCTAACTCTAACCCCAACCTGCTTGATCTCCTCCCCAACCATTCCGATCTCCTCCTCAACCGTCTCGATCTCCTTCTCAACCGTACGAATCTCCTCCCCAACCTACGGATCTCCTACCCAACCGTTCTGATCTCCCCCCCCCCAACAGGTCCGATCTCCTTCCCAGCCGTTGGAATCTCCTCCCCAACAGGACGAATCTCCTCCCCAACCTACGGATCTCCTCACCAACCGACTCGATCTCCTTCCCAACCAGACTGATCTTCTCTCAACTGGCCTGATCTTCTCCCTAACTGGCCAGAAAATAGGCAACACCGTTGAGAACAATATCGAATACTGATACCATCGCGTGACCACCCGTAGAACTGTTTTCTTTTGTTTTAAGCACCTGCTGTTTTTTGTTTTTATCTTAAAACAATATTTTTTTTCAGGATATCTGAATGGGATTGGGGAACAGGCACATGTTCTGAAAAGGCACATCGTTTTGATAATCGGCTCGGCTGTGAAATTTCGGATAATTTTGTCACTAGGTAACATCTGACCTGGGAACAATTCAACCTGAACCTGCCGTGACCTATGGGTTGAGGGATACTTAACGTCCACTCGACACAAACCAAGTCATTTCGGGACTAACACATGATTCAATTTTATATCAATAATTCGTTTGCGCGTAGTGGTCGTTAGCAGTGGGAGGAAACCCTAGAACCAGGAGAAAACCCACGAGGTTGAACAAGCGACCCTACTCCTTGTCATATTTAAGCGGGGGTTTGGAAACCACGCCAATTGACTCAATGACAGACCTTATGATTTCACGCTAACGCGTTAAACCATTACCCCCCTCACCCCTTCTGAAAATAAACACTCCCATTTACATAACTCAAACTATTTTCGGCCATGTGAGACAAACAAAGGAAACATTACTTATATGAATATTTATATATCTTACTTGGCATACAATGGTGGATTGTTTTTAACGTGCAGACGTCGAACAAGAGACTTTATGTATTGTCACCATTCTGTTCCGGTTACAACGGAAGTTGATGCTTTAAACTAGAGTGTCGATAGTCACGTCACAGGAAACATGCAACTCCGATGCAGTGGTTTAAAAATAGACCCAGAAAAACCTTGACATACATGTACATATTTTAATATATGTCCTCAAATGTATATAAGTACGATAGTTCTCGGAAACCTCGACATCACGTTATTGTTTAAGCAGAATTAAACAGAATTATTTCACACACAAACAGGCACTCGGCAAACCGCGGCAGATTCCGTTACTCTAGATGTAGGGTACTAGAATCTACTGAGGTTTGCCGAGTGACAAACAGGCCCCCGACAAATAATCTGCTCTTATAATCAAATATAGTAACAAAATGAGATGGGGTTTAATGTCCTACTGTTATGCTCCGACAGGGATACTGAAGACGGGAGTCAAATACAGTAATATTCAACCAAAATCGCCAATATTCAATGATAATACATAAAGAAGAAAAAGATAGTTTATTGTAGAAATAAAACCGAGTGGCACCACCTTTATTGGTATTTCAGGAATCTTATTTTCTGATGTGGCTCACAGCTTTTGTATTTATCGATATACAATGGAGATGGAGAAGAATCTGGCACATCACATGTAACACAGACTCCTGTAATTTACATGTATCTGGAACTAAACCATTTTTGGTTCTGCATCATCGAGTCTAAAAAGATAAAATCAAATCTGTTTTTGAGTTCTGCGTCTTTCTGTAATGGCCAAGTGTACTTGATACGGACCTGGAGTTGATTAGGTTAGTGCTAAATGATTAGGCCAGATTAATTTTTCGCCATTGGTCACGAGGTGTAAACAGAGCGAGTGTTAAACCCTAGCCCTGAACCTAGCCCCAATGCTTACCCTAACCTTAACCTACAATCTCGCCAGCATCACGTGACCTAACCTTATTTACATCTTAACGACCTTGACAAAAACTGAGCTGGCCTTAACAAATAGATTTAGCCGGTTGCCATGGTGGCAATGAATGAATGACATAATGTCTTGGTGGCAATGAATGAATGACTAAGGAAAGCTGTCTAGTCGTTCGGATGGTACGAAAAACCGAAGTCCCGTGTACACATTGGCGTGCACGTAAAAGATCCCTTGGCAGTTGGAATTCGATATAAGAGTAGGCCGTAGTGCCGCTGCCCGGGCAAAATTTCCCTCATAGCACACTGTATGGCCTATGCCCGTCTTCATTAGCCCAGGTTAGGAGCAGAACAGTAGGACGTCAAACTCCATTTCATTTCATTTCATGTTTACATTATAATATGCGCCATTGTTTCTATGTGATGGTCTCCTGTGTCACGAGCAGAATGGAATGGTGTTTGACAACGTCCAATTTTTCTACACCAACAGGGTTGTGTGCTATGCAAGAAATTTTGCCCAGATAGCGGCGCTACGGCCTACTCTTATTTCGAATTCCAACTGTGAATGGTAATTTTACGTGCACGCCAATGTGTACACGGGACCATAGTTTTTCATCCCATTCGAACGAAGAGACACTGTATATTGCCAGTTAGTTCTAAATGATAAGGCCAGCTCAGTTTTTCGTCATATTTCACGAGATATAAATAGGGCTAGCGCTAATCCCAACCCTTACCCTAACCTTAGATCCAATGCTTACCCTAACCCTAGATCCAATGCTTACCCTAACCCTAACCTACAATCTCGCCAACAATCACGTGTCCTAACCCTATTTACATCTCAACGACCTTGACAAAATTGAGCTAGCCTTAACAAATAGATTTAGACCCCGTACTGCAAGTTTTGGCGAACATTTCAACGAGTGTGGGTGTTTGTACATATCTCCTGTTCACTGCTTCCTCAGCCTGCAGGATAACAAAACGCGGAGATAACGTTCGAATCATCGAAGATCCGTTAGAATATACACAAAGAATTTCTCTCAGCTGTATTTATCAATTAATTTGAACTTGACCATCCGGTTAGTGATATACACATTTTAGTAACTGTGAAAAATAGGTCGCCAGGCCACGAAACATAACACACATCAGCTAAGTCGTCCGCGCAGTCAGAAACTATTCCAAGTTAATAGATCTCTTGGTCTCGCATCAATATAAACATTGAGTGTGCGGGGGGTGGGGGGTCACGCGTCTGTCATTGAGTCAAGCGGCGTGGTCTCGACCCCCAACCCCCACCCCCGCTTGTTCGTGACAAGACATAGAGTCGGTTTTTCTCCGGGCTGAAATAAATTGAGCCATACGTTAGTCCCGAAATGACCTAGTTTGTGTCGAGTGAGCGTTTATCTTGCTTTCAAGTTTACTATATAGTTTTAGATTTAGTAAGAATACTGTATGCTATACTGTCTATAAGACACACATGTCCGGGACGAGTATTTTTATTTTTATATACAGACGGATGCGGACATTTTGTTTTTTGTCATTCTGTGAAAAGAATTTTAACCTCATAGTACAGATAAATAAAAGAATTGGTTATGTCCGTTAAAGCGTAGTTTCCCTTTAAACTCATAGTACAGATAAATAAAAGAATTGGTTATGCCCGATAAAGCGCAGTTTCCCTTTATACCACAGGTATTTCCTTTACTCATAGATGAGTGGGCACGTATTAAATATTCTATTATCTCAAGTTTCAGCCTCGGCAATAAACAAACACTTCACTATAATAACGTACTCTCTTTACCCTGGCCTTATGACTATTCAAACTGTATAACAAGGAAATACTATCATTAAATATAAAAGCTTTCAAGTTCCCAGATATGGGTGTTATTTTTATAGAGAGATGAAAGATTTTTGAGACTATAGGATTCTTAATTTAAAACCAAAGCAATTTATAGTCTACTGTCAATTTGATCCATTCAAAGTGTATGACATTTATTAATTATTTAATAAAGTTTTAAAAGAACTACTTCTGAAGATGGTTGAGATATGGTTTTAATTATTTAAGTAAACGATTGTTGAATGTTATTATAACATTTCGTTTTATTTGATCTCATTGTTCAGCATCTTTACACAAGGTGGGGACCGCGGTGGCGCTGCCTCGCTAACCAGGCGGTGCCAGGTTCGATCCCGGTGCTGTCCGAGAAAGTTCTTCCGAGATCTTTTAGTCTGGTTTCCATCGAGGTTCAACCGTGTATTCGTTGCCTTCACGTATTTATAAGAACCATTAACGGAATTATATTAAGAATAAGCGGAAACGACGCTCGCTATGCAAAAATGTCCCATGTAGCACACTGCATGGCGTATACTTCATTAAAGGAGCTAAATCGCTAATATGTGGGACCTAGAAATTGACCCAAATGGGTCGCAACGCATATAATAATGTAATATGAATGTATATAAACTGATTTACATTACTCTAATTTCAAAAAAACACCAGAAGTCTCAATCGAATGACAATGTCTAGCGTCTAATATTCCAGTCTACACTGAAAGTATTTATTGCGCATGCTCTCCAAATAAGAATATGGCGTACGTTTTTTGAGTCCCTGGTTACAAATGGCGCTAAAAAGAATAATGGTACACGATTCTTGCACCAATGATAAAATGTTTTTTTTTTGTCTTAAATAGTGTATATCAGAAGCCCATCTTTTCCCTGTAAGATCACAACATCAATGTTGATTTAAATTGACAAATAATTCGTGTCTTCGGTGTCGAAGACTTTGGATGATATTGAGTTAGAGATTTAGCTACCTTAAACCCCATTTCAGTCCATGCCATACATCACGCTGGAAGACCTAGGTCATTGTCTTTATACAAAGTTTGTTTATTTTTTTTTAACCTGAAAAGTTATTCTAAGTAAGATAAAGGCTGTTGACATTAATATCGTCATAGCTATATAGAAATATACATTCAATAGAAAATTGATTTCCAATAAGCGAAAATAACTCCAAGACAGTTGAATTGGGTCTAATCACACAACTATACAAAATATAAAAGGAGTGGGTTTAATAATAGTTCAGTCATCTTTTAAAATTGTATTTCGTCTTGAGGAAAACAGGTCTTAGTGGATATTTTATCTCAATATTTTATCACGCCCATGTGGGTATTATATAATTATCTTTTGAAGGATTCCACGTGATGCTAGGTGATTAATTCCAGGCTCTTGTTCATATCGATCTCAGAGCGCGGGGTTCCAATCGGGGCGGATTGAGATGGGTTGTATTGACCCTAAAGCTAGTGTTTATATCATTTATCACTGGTCTTGAAAGTCAGAACAGAAAGGTTAAAGGGAAACATTCTACTTTTTAGTATAAACGCGTTATCAGAATAATACATGACACAGTTCTCCTGTCAAAAGGCAAATGAATATTAAACCCCAGCTCATCCATTGATTTGACTATTGAGTTACTAGGTTTTGCTGTGGTATTCTAGGCAAATGACGGAAGTTGCCTGGTTGTGTCATGGGTGTAACTGCTTACAAAATCAAAAGATTGGAATATCTAGTACAACAACAGGAAGCCCATACCCTAGTAACTACAAATTTGGTCCTAACTCAATTTTGATAAAAAAAAAAGTGAGTTACTAGGTTTTGCCTTTTGACAGGAGAGTTATCACACTGATCCGCAGTGAATATTTGCTTGGCCGCGACAATCACTGATAAGGATGACATTGATGCGGCTTAATGAGCTAGAAATATTAACTTTTTTCCTGCGACAAATTAAATTCTAAAACATTTTTTGTATATATTGGAAAAATAAATAAAGGCGTTAGACGTATTTGTAGGTAAAAATTATTTCCGATTTAGTGTAAATGGGTATTAAATTGACTAAAATGCAGCATTCTCTCCGAAGCAGTTATGTCTTATGTAAACAATGCACGCGCCATTCAGCCAATGATTCACACCGCGTGCTGTGACAGCACGTGTTAAGGCAGTCATCTATGACAGAGATATTATACGAGACTCGTAATTCTCTGTGAAACAGATTGGAGAGTTATATGGAATAAAAGTTACTTAACTTCTCTCGTCTTTATCAAGCAAAGGATCCGACATTTATGATTTTACCCACGAGGAAATGGAATGGGGTTTAATGTCTTACTATTCTGCAAAACAGGGACAATGACAGATGGGCATACACAGTGTCCTATATAATATAAGGGCAATTTAGAATTTCAATGATTCTTTTAGGAGTACGCTGCGGGTGAATCTCACTTTTTGGTCCAATCTGAACGACTTGATCCTTTTTTTTACCTTGCCAGACCCTTCCACCACTGACGCGATACCAGGCTGCAGAATCCCGAGGAAATGTTTCGACCGGGAACTCACTGAGAGAGAGAGAGAGAGAGAGAGAGAGAGAGGGGGAGAGAGAGAGATGGGGTTTAACATCCACTTGATATGGCCCAAATAGATCTCGTATTGTAACAAACAATCACTTAATAATCTTATTTAAAAAGAGATTTATTATACACGAAACGTCTAACCATGATCTAGACCAATATTACTTAACTATACAAAAAAATCGATATCTTAAATGACGGATGGAAACGCTTAGTCAAAAAACTGAATGAATGAAATAAAATGGGGTTTAACGTCCTATTTATCTGCACCAACCGGGATAATGAAGACGTACATACGTCATACAGTGGGAAAGTTTGCTCGAACAATATCCAACTTTCAATGATTCTTATATGCACACATGGGACCTCGGTTTCTACCCATCCGAACAATTAGACGCTGTCCTTGATAGAACCGGAAAATCCAGAGGATCGAACCCTAGATATCCTGGTTAGTGAGCCAGCGTCTTACTCACTGAACCACCGTGTCTCCCGTCAAAAGAATTGAAATGTGGTTTGATGGCACGTCAGCGCCAACCGGGCGATATTGAGTCAAACATATGGTGACATCTCCGAGACACATTATACGAAATCACAGTATATTAATATACATAAATAAATACACGAATCACAGTTAATATTATTAAAATTAAATAACATATGGTGACATCTACGAGATACATAAAAACACATATCACAGTTAATATTATTAAAATTAAATAACATATGGTGACATCTACGAGATACATAAAAACACATATCACAGTTAACATTATTAAAATTAAAATACAATATGGTGACATCTACGAGATACATAAAAACACATATCACAGTTAATATTATTAAAATTAAATAACATATGGTGACATCTACGAGATACATAAAAACACATATCACAGTTAACATTATTAAAATTAAATAACATATGGTGACATCTACGAGATACATAAAAACACATATCACAGTTAACATTATTAAAATTAAAATACAATATGGTGACATCTACGAGATACATAAAAACACATATCACAGTTAACATTATTAAAATTAAATAACATATGGTGACATCTACGAGATACATAAAAACACATATCACAGTTAACATATTAAAATTAAAGATACATTATGTAAGATTTAGATAAAGAGCTGACCGTTCTTGCTATAATAGCTCGAAAATAGATAATGTAAAACGAAAATATTGAAAATTTTATTCAAATTGCAGTACTTCATTCTGAGCCAAGTTATCACTGTTTGTAGTTTTGACAAGATTTGTGCATTGGGGTAACCAGGGCACCGGTATATTCGAGACTTAGCCTCGCTTTCCCATTTTTAAATTAAACTTAATCTTGTTAAAATTTCGAGTAGCACATTTCAAGCCTAAAGAAAGACCTGCAATAGGCAGATTTAGCTCTTGCATAATGTATGTTTAAATAACAATATTCTCTGTATATCAAATATTTAAAATATAAATCATGGGAAAAAAACAAGGATATATACAAATTAAAATTTTCTGCAAAAATGTGTCTAACGCTTTACAATATAGATCCGATTGGGCAAATAAATTCTGTAATGACTGACAACGGAAGTATTTGAATCTAAAATCTTTGAGATACTTGCACTCGTCAGAATGTGTTAACATTCTGGCCGAGGCTCTCACATTAAGATGAAATGTGAGTTAAAAGAACTAATTGATTACTTACATCAAATTCTCTTTAGACATTTACTTATATATATATATATATAAACATAAATATAAACAGGTCTGTTATTCTTATATATGTCAAATATAGCAACATATTCGCCATAAATATACAGTGTTAATTATCTAACGACTTTGTTCTGTTCATTTCTGAAGGATACAAAGATGGCTGACGAGCGAAGTGTCACGTATATAAACGACCTTCTATTAAGTATTTCTAAGTCTCCTGAGTAAATAAATAAACTTTAAAAGGATGTAGCAGACACTTTAACTAGAAGTGTTTAGTTCTAATTTAACTTTCTTTGTTTACTTGTTTTAATTCACAAAATTGTTTAGCTTATAGTGACACGTATGTTAGGACCGACAAAAGGGTGCAGCTTTCTGATGAATCAAACAGAATCAAGTACTACACTGTTTTATCGACGGGTAGACTAAATAATAAGGCCAGCTCAATTTTTCGTCATAGGTTACGAGATGTAAACAGGGCTAGCGCTAATCCCAACCCTCCTAACCCTGGATTTGGCCCCAATGTTTACCCTTACCCTAACCTACAATCTCGCCAACAATCACGTGCCCTAACCTTGTTTACATCTCAGCGACCTTGACAAAAATTGAACTGGCCTTAACAAATAGATTTAGGCGTTTAATCGACATTCCTTCAAAATTTAACCCCGTAAATGCCATTTAGACGTATAAAGATTAAACGACTGAAGCTGTGTTGATGAGTCCCCAATATATTTTGTATTATAAAAACGTCCCTTAAGCCAGGGTATCAAATAAGGAAAATTGATCAGTGCACAATTTGAGCATCCTTTGTTCTGGTCGTAATTATATTCAACATGTATTACGTTTCAGTTTCAAGTAGAAATTGAACTGGAAATAGACACAAATCTATGGAATGCAATTCGGGCTTATTACTCTGTGGGAGCCACGGTGGCTAAGTGGGTAGGACGCTGGCTCGCTAGTCTGTAGGTCGCCTGTTTGATCCCTGCATTGGCGGAGAAAGTTCATCGGGATTTTCCGACGTCGTTTCCCCTTCTCAGTGGTGCAGGACGGAGGTCCTGACAAGGACAGCTGTCTAGCCTAGTCGGAGCAGAACAGTAGGACGTTAAACACTAGGCGATGGGGCATCACACTGGATTATCATTACGAAATATATTAATAAAACAATCAATATGCCAGTAAAAAAGAATACAATTTATCATGGTTTTGGATAGTTTCATTTCATTAATGAACTGTACACTTCAGGTTGATCACTGCACATTTGTGAACTTTAATGAACACTGCACATTTTGTGAACTGTTTTGAACTCAGTACATTTTGTGACCGCTGCACATTTTGTGGTCGCTGCTCATTTTGTGACAACTGCCACATATTTCATACACAGTTTTAGACGTCTGCAACAACTGGCCACAATTCGACCTCACCTTTCTTTTATCTATTGTGCTATACAAGTATTCGTGATGTTGAACTGATTGGGGTGTTTACAAGGACTTTGAGTATTTGATAGCAGATATGATATGTTAATTCACCGGATGTCCAACGACCAACATTTTAGTGTGAGTGGTTTTCAGAAAATATTTTTGAAGTAATTTATTACTAAAGACAGTCACTTCAAACCTAAAAAGAAATTTCATTAGCACGTGGTTTCTATGTTCCCGGGGGGGGGGGGGGGCTTGGCATAAATGGGGATACTATTTGAATTCCACTTGAGATTGGATGTGTTTCAACTCATTCGATGCAAAAGGGATCATTTAATATCAATAGTACACTGTTCTATGATCGTAATCTTTTGGAGTTTTTGGGGGACTTGGCATAAATGGAAATACTATTTGAATTTCATTTGAGAAGGGATTGTGTTTCAACTCGTTCGTCTGAGGAACACTTGAATTCATGAATATAAAATATCTTTCTGTTTGAATGACAGACGTGGGGATTTAATACAGAGATAAATCGATGTTCCAGAAACTCACGTAATGGCTGACACACCGGGTACTAAAAACCCAATAGGACTCAGACTGTAGTGCGAGTTATAAATAGACAATTTTTTCCTTAATATTTTTTCTCCCCTCTTCCTGCATTTTTTCGTTGACTTTTTGGTCTACTATTGGAGAAAAGGGATCAAATTTGCAATTTCATAGCAGTTTTGGGCAATACTGATGATATTACAGTGGAGGGATAAGGGGTGTAAAGTAGTGTCTTTCTGCAGAGCAATCATTGTGTCGGAAGTGAGATTTTCACCCCAGTCAACTTCAAATCCCCGTAGCAAAAAAATTATGATGAGGAGATTGCCAAATGTGGTCCCCATTGTGCCTATAAAGATTGGAACCAACGGAATGTTGAGCAAAAAAGCTACAGCCTGTGATGTTACAGCCATTTAACATTGAAGTCAATGGGAAAATAATTGCTAGTCTATGAGTCCAATAGTAGCAATTATGAATCCCATAGAAACCTGTCTCCCGTTGTGCTGATTACAGATTGTAATGTTTGTCACTCAACCATACCACGAGACTTAATGACAAGTTTATTAACTTTTCTTTGCCTATATCTGTAGATAAATCCTTTGATCCTGCCGATTCGTTATCATTCGACCGTGAAAGTCCATGTGACACACTGAACTTCTTGGTCTAGAAACGACCTATAACCTCTCGACCCCTCTCACAACGGTAAACTGTTACACCGTTATGTTATTTCATGTTACGACACGTTATACTACATTACGTCACGTGTTACGTCACGCGTTATACGAACAAAGAAAGGAGGTAACCACATTTACCGTTATCCATTTTGAATCTTCAAATAATGAACTCGTCGAATACAAACAAGGGGTATGGACAATAAACAAATCAACCAGAAGCTCTTCTGACATGTCAACATACTTCAGATGGAATATAAACTTGTGCGCGTATGTTTGAGATCTGTATGTCGTATGATATTCACATTTCCGAAAATATCGAAACCTTTACCAAAACAAAAAGTTTACATTCTTCATCAGTGAATTGAGTAAGGAGCTGGAATATTCGGCTCTGTTGCAAAAAGGAGACCTCGAGGGGAAGAGTTTTGAATTCCTTTGTGAATTCCTTGTAAGGGTTCTTTAACATGCACGCTAATGTCTACACGAATGGGCCTCAGTTTTTCGCCCCTACCCGAAAACAAAACAAAACATAATTCTTTGTCAACCCCGCAGGCGCCACCCCTGACAAATGAGGATCGGGTTTGAAAAATCCAAAAGGTTCTCCTCTGTCGACGACGGGATTCCCTATCGCTCGACTACTGCAGTCTTCCTCCAGTCTGAAGCCTGGATCTCGATGGAGACGGGTATCCGGTATACGTACGGTTAGGTCTAAACATTCAAGCCAGTTGAAGATTTGATCAAAGGTCACGAGATGTATACAGGGCTACCGCTAACCTAACCCTAGCCCTAACCCTTACCTTAATCCACTAGACCTGTTTACATCTCGCGACCTTTACGAAATCTGCAGTTGGCTCTAATTTTTAGACTTTACCGTTTTTGTACCGGTGCAGGCTGGTACATTATTCTATCACGTGTATGCAACCCACACAAAATGGCAGCGAATGTAGTATAATAAGTTTAACGTCTGTGATATTATTTACTAATCACAAGCTAATAACACGTCTGTGAACTTTATTAATTAGTATATATGTAATTAAAACTCTAGCCAACACTAATAACACCCGCCTTGTGTCACGCGAACCACGCATAAACATGTAATATAAACCTCGTATTGACCGGCAGATTGACACGCCGTCTGTATTACGTCATCAACATCCCAGCTGACACATCTTTTGATGACGTAATTATCATAAAAGTGTTTTGGAGGTGATGTGTTTAATTAGTGGACGGCATGTAACTATGGTGAATGTTTAATCGTGTGACAGCTTTGTTCTATCTGTAACAGTTGTTCAGGTACAAATTCCCGGAAATCCAATTGCTAAAATAACACCACGCTTTGAACACAAGTTGAGATTGTAGACCACATGTTATTCTATAGATGTTCTGTATTAAATCAGATAAACCTGCAAACTTCTGATGGATGATACTATTACAATCTGTCGCGGTGGTTCAGAGATGTATTGGACCCGCGGTGGCTAAGTGAGTAAGACGTTGACTCGCTAACACTACTACTACTACTACCTTAAGTTTTAACGTCCGCTTCCACAGAAGTGATATCGCAGACAAACTCGCTAACACACAAGTTAGTATACTAATAAACACACCCAATAGACATGTTACTATACTAATACACACGTCACTACACTAATCCACTCTCAATACACACGTAACTACACTAATACACACTCAATACACACGTTACTGTACACATCAAATATACAAGTTAGTATGCTAATACACACATCGAATATACAAGTTAGTATGCTAATACACACATCGAATATACAGATTACTATATTAATACACACCCAATGCACAAGTAGTAAAACACATTCAGTACTAGAGTAATAAGGTCCATACCGATAAGCATGCGGGGGGGGGGGGCGGAGGACCCGGAGAAAACCCACGAGGTTGGACAGGCGACCCTACTCCTTGTCACGTACAACCGGGAATCGTAACCCCGCAAGTTGACTCAATGACAGACCTTATGATACAGCGCGCACGCGCTAACCATTCGCCCCCCCCCCCCCCACGATAACCAGTTGATTCAAATTCTATCTTTTCGAATACATAACGAGCCTCTAATGACGTTGTCTATTTCATTACACAAATTACATGGATGGGGAAACTCCGTACGCCGATTATCGATGCTCACCCTTAATTAAACGACCATGTTGAATTACGACCATGTCCCACTACAGAAGTGACTTCTTCGATCAATTTTCTGAAAACTGCCAATGCAGAAAAAACCTTATTCGTCAGAAGTCACGTTTACTCACCTAAAATTGGATGTTTTGATATTCCGGGAAGTGTCAATAATGTCAGTGACCAGATGTCATGTCATGTCATGTCATGGCAGTTAGCTATAATCAAGCACATGACTCACGCTGCTCTCAAGATAATCGGACTAGTATTTAATGGGAAACGTGATTCACGACCGGTATTATTCAATCGGGATTTATCGAATTTGCATGAGGTGAACCGAATGGTATTTAGTTGAACTTGTCAAAAACATGACGCAATTTAT